GCATTCCTGACACCCCTCCTGAGGCAGACTCCGTATTAATGTTTGGCTAGAAAGCAAGTTTTGACTTCCTCAAAAAATGCTTGCAGCTTTGGCTTTTTCAGTCTGGTTTTCTGTAAATGTGAGGCGTATGAAATCACCGTTCTCAAATAGCTTCTGAACGTGCTGTCTGGTTTCAGCCAGTTTTAACACTGGTAAAAGTCTCTGTGATGATTAAATATTTATGAGGAGAAAGTAAACATTCACCAGTTGCTGAACACCTGAGACTGCCTAGGAGAGAGCCTTTCTAAATCCTAAAAGCAAGAACAGCTTAGTTGAGTTTGCACCTTTTTACATACTAGAGTCCCCACTGGGGAGAAACCTGGATTTGGGGCAATGCCAAGAATACCAGACATGCAAGGCATCAAGCACAGAGCCATCAGATGAAGAAACTGGCAGTGAGACCCTTTACTTCTAGTGCTCGCAGAATCCCTCTTGTCCATTCGGCTGTGAAAAAAGTAAGGCCTTCCAAGAGGTTTTGCTGCAGAACAGCCCCACATCACATGCTTGAAACACTTAGATGGGGGCACAGATTCAAGTTCATGTGCACTGCCTGCTTCACACCATGGATGCGGATTGAGGTGTCCCAGGTGCACGCTCTCCCCACCACCCCATCTAGGAGCTCAGTCTAGCTTAGCTATTGAACGACTCAAATTCCACTGCAACAAAAAAAAAAACCAAAAAGCAAACCCACCTTTCTGAGCAGGCAGTTCCTCTTTTGTCTCATAAGTGTTCATACAAGCTCCTGCATTGGCAGCTGCTCAGATCCTCCGGGACAGAGGACTGAATCAACAGCAATTAGTGGCTGGGAGCATTTACACTCTCTCCTCCATCCTGGAAGATCTGAACAGATGCTAGAAATCAAAGGTAGCAGTTCCCAAATACCCATCATTACAGCACGAGTTGCATGAACTGAAGGGAACCCTTGGAGTATTTCCCAACCCTTTTTTGTGGAGCTGCAACCAAAAATATAGCTTTACTTTGACGAGTACTGGCAACGTGATGTCATGGACCTTTGCATTTGTTGTCCTAACGTTTTCCAGGTTAAAGCAACCTTGCCCGTGTGACTTCTTTTTTCTAGCCTGTCTTGGGCCCTCTGAATCAACCCAGTTTCTTTCTTCGGGCATTAATGATAATAAAGATTCTGCTCCCCTTCACAAATCAGCAGCCCTTCAGACACAGAGATGATTTGGGGGGTTTCCAAACCTTATAAGCAGTTAGGTAGGTCTTATTGATGGTCCATAAGGAACAGCAGAATCCAGCGACTCTTCTAAATTTATTAACTCTCAAGTGCCTTCTTAAGAACTAGGAATAGTCCTCTCCCAAAATTAAATGTTATTGCCCCTCAGGCCACCAGATTTTTTTGTGAACACCCACTGAGCTCAGCATCACTGGTCACAGTTTCACAGCAGAACAGAATTACACTTCAACACTCAAATATAGCAGTGCTGCTCAACCTCAGCAGCTCCACACCGAGGAAGAACTGAGATCTGCCAGTTCCTTCTTTGTCTAGAAAATAACCTTCTGCTATTTATTAAACACGTTTTTCTTTTGGCTTTCTTTCAGGAGCCGCCAAGGGATGCATTTGTTACCGGGAACACGAATGCTGCTGTCCCCCAGACCTCTGAAGGCGTGTGTCTCCTGGGCCCCGCTGGTTCTCTTGCCCCTGGAAACTCGTGCTGCACCAGCGGTCACGCTCCTTGCAGGAACGGGAGCCCCGGCACGGCGCCATGCGAGGCGGGAGGGAGCCTCCAAGAGTTTTCTGTGGTAACTGAGACTGAAGATGACCATTTCCCACCAGTTCCCATGGAAGATGAATACATGGATAAGGATCTCAACACCAGTGATTATTTATCTTTACTGAGTCAGACTGCCAGTAAAACCGTGTCGTCATTTTCAGAACCAATGGAGGCAGGGGAGAACGACAGCTTAAATCAGTACTTTTCAGGGATTGGGAGCACAGAGGACCTGTCAGTCTCTCAAGGCTCTCACCCTTCCTCCGACACGGACGGGGCACACGTTGCCACGGACAGACCCCTTCAGAAATCTTGCCAACGTGCCCACAGTTGCCTGAAGGAGACAGGCAACAAAGACACAGATCGTTTTGCAACAAACTATGTCTCAGAGAAGATCTGTGTGAGGTGTGGCATTTCGTACAGGGAATCTCCTAGAAAGTGGAGCAAACCCTCTTGTGCTGCGGCTGACAGTGCCTCCACCTCCCCAGAAACTGGATCCTACGCACAGTGCACCTGTGGCTTGAATTTTCTCTCTGCTGGTCAGAGCACTCTAGCAAGTGACCATGGTATGGAAGATGCATCTTCGGATAGTAGCAACATCAAGTACCAGAACACAAACAGAAGCACTTCGGGGACAAACAGCACCACTTCAGACCTCCCTCCAGCATCTGGTAAGCCCATTAGGCTTGACCCGTACACAGTTGCATAGGATTATTCTCTGTGCTAGCTCTGTATTATTCAGAGGGTCTGATTTAGGAGAAGGAGAGAAGACTAAAAAGATGCCTTTTCACTTAATTGCCCTGAAGCTAATCTGAAAGACAAAAATGAAATAGCAAGGCCATTTGGTTTGTAGTGAATTCTGCAAATAGGATGAGCACTGTGAGGGGCCATTGTCCTGCCCTGATCTAGCCAGCAATGCAGAACCCATCTTCTGGCTGTCACTGCAAAGGCCAGGCAATTCTGTTACTGAAGTTATTTTGGTGCGTGTACTGGAGAAAACTTAGAAGGAGGGGAGCATAGGGACCTAGAGGCTGAGTCAAGAAAGGATGCATAACACTCAGACAGATGATCTTCCATTCAACAGTCTGCACGCACATTTTTGCCACTAGGTTTAAGTCCAGCTACATTTATATGGGGGTCAGTGAAACTCCAGTTAGAGCTGTAACCTGGTGGCCACGATTCAGTCTATGGGATTATGTTCAATTCTCTGCTTTTAGCTCTTTCTCTTTGATTTGCTAGGATATAAGCGTTCACCTAAAAATAATTTCATACAGACATTGTTTCTCCATACACAAGTGCTGTGTCCCCTAAACAACTCTGAAACACTGTCACCAATTTACTTATTGATTACCAATTTACTAATTGAGTAAATATATCAAAATTGTCAAATGAAAGCGGGGAACAAAAATCACTGAAGCAAAACTAAGCAGAAGGGAAGTTATGAGCCTTTTCTGGATGAAACCTTCCTCCCTCAGACTTTTTTTCAGTATAAAAGTCTGCAATCTGCCTGTCATGTGTTATTAGTCATTTTAGATTACAATCTCTTAAAGTCAGATGCTCTATTTTTATTTATGTCGATGCACTGCCAAGTGTAATGAGACCTTAGTTTTGACTGGGACATCTAAGTATTACTGTAATACACACAGTAGTTGTAAGTAGTTGCCCGTCTTTAAAACCATGTCGTGCCTTAAAGTTTCTTATGGAGACATTCTTGTCAGTCTGCCAAAGCCCCAAACCAACACTTTTAAAGGCCCTTCCCCTCTCAACACGCATGCCATGTGGGAATCTGAAAGTGTGTAGCGTTTCTAAGAGAGGATACTCTTTCTGCTGCTTCAGTTTCCTGAAATCCTGACACAGTTTCACTGCCTGGCCTGTACAAAATTCAGCAGTAGTAAAGAGAACACAGATTTTCCTGTTGTTGTTGTTGCTGGAAGGTGACTCTGAGGTACAGTTGAAAGTCAAATTTGTATTTGGCACTGCAGAAGTACTGCTGTTCTTTCTATATCTGACACAAAGAGGAAGAGAAAATATTAAGGAACAATAGGGCAATCAGGAGAGCTTGGATTTAAGCGACATGCTAGAAAGTGCCATCCTAGATCTGCAGCACAATTCTTTATATGGGATTTTAATTGCGTCTGTGCCTTCGGGTATGTACGTGCTATAGTGCCACCTGGTGAAACCTGAGCACAGATACAGCGTTCCAAATTTGCCATTTTTTAGGCAGGACTTCCAGCAGGTACTGACTGAGCTGTGGGCAGTATGAGAGTGTGGGTTAGTTAATCTGTAGGTAATGTGGCTTGCTGGCAGAGGTTTTTTTCTGTCCGCAGAATGGCTGTGCCCCGCTGGCAACACCTGGTTGCACGAGGAGTGAGACAGGGCTTAGCCATAGCTTCCACACTGAAGCACCCCGGACGTGCTGGGGCTGCACATGGAGCTGCAATGGCATCGGTCATTTTGCTGGGCCTTGTGAAACGCCCAGATGTAAAAAATGTGCATGCAAAATAATTTTCTGTAAAGCTTCTCAAAGCAACTGAAGCCACCAGGCTTCGCACACAGTCATGCTAAGACAGAACGGTACAAAGAGGGTGGATGAAAAAATGGGAAGAAAAAGGCCATGGGTAATTCCATGAAGTTTTGGTTTTAGTTCCCTAACACTCAAAATGACAATAGAAATTGCAAACTCTGTCCCTCCTGTGAAACAACCCTAGAGGACCAAAGTAAACCTCTGGACAGGTGCCACTTAACAGGGGTCACCACCAGAGATGGAGGTAAGCCTTCAAGCACTCTTTCAAACCCCCCAAGCCTGGAGGCAGTCAGAACATGAAGGGTCGGTTCATGACCACCTCAAGTCATGTGTAGGGCTACAGCATAAAGCATGAGTGCAGGAAGACTTAGATGACTCAGGATTAGGAATGGTTTTGCAGAGCCTTTCTCTTCCAGATCCCAAACCAGCCCACTTCAGCAGCAACAAACGGTTCTTACCACCTAGAGCCCATTAGACGGCTCAGAGAAAATTAATCACCTGCGTTGTTCCAGTTCTTAGTGAATAATTACCACAAAAATTAATCTGTTGTTGTAATTAATATCATCAGGTAGTCTGAAGAAATCAAAAAGCTGAAACGTTACAGAGAACGATGCCTTCACTTATCCTCTGAAGGTGTCCCTGATACTTTCTAGGTTGGAAGCACATCTCTTAGTGCAGTCCAGGAAGCTCTTGTGTCCATTTTATGTGCTTTTGGGCCTCAAATATCCTTTTGTTTCAGCACAGTGTCTTCAGAAAGCAGTGAAGATTTGCCAGCCACGTTCAACTAAACATTATAAATGTGTTAGTCTGCTTCCCCCCACCTCCCCCCCACTGTCACATATATTTCTAAATTCTTGATCTCATGCTGAGCACTGGTAAACTTTTCCATAGTACTTTTTGCGAGTGACAGGCAATCTGTATGAAGGCAAACTGTTATTTTTGTACTCCCATTATGCCTGACAGTTGTGTTGATGGCAAACAGCCGAACGGAATCAAACACAGGGGAAGCAACCGGCAGGGAAAAAACTCCGGCAGAGAAAACTCTTATTGACACCTCATGTTAATCAACAACACTTGGAAAGAAAGCAAAGAGCTAGCAATGCAGTGGTTTAGCTAAAATAAATCGCATTGCTTGAGGGGGACTATTAGAGAGATGCTCGAGTGCTACTCAGACTCGGTTATGAGCAGGCACAGGTCCTAACTCGGCACAGCTGGAGCCCAGTGTCCATTGCTGATGTGCAAACATCACCCATGGCCACTAGAAAAACAGCATTTCTCTGGGCTGGGCCATGCTTAGCTGCAATGAAAATGGAAACATCTCAAGTGTTGAGGAACGTAATGAGGAAAGGCACAAAATGTTTAAAAGGTGTCAGATCAGTCCGCAAGTAATGATTAAGTGAAGCACAGCAGGAAAAACATTTCTTAGGAAGAGTGTTCATAGGCTAGGAAGTTTTACTTTTTTTTTTACTTGGTCGCTTCGGTTTGTTTAATTTTCAAACTTTAACAAGTTTGTTAGTTTGTTGTTGAAAGTTTGCTCTCAGTTATTTTCTTTCTGCTCTGAGAGAAGTTTATTAATTCCCAGAGGCTGGTCCTGCTGTCACTTGAGTCAGCGACCCAGTCCTTGAATGGCAGAAAGATTGAATTTATACTGAAAAATCTCTAACCGCAGGCAGACTGACCGAAACCGTAACTCTGTTAGGTTGCTATAACATAGACTATGTCTCTTCACTGGAGTCAGCGTATATCCAGGTAAATCCATGAGGGTGCTAGGTGAGTACTGGAGTGTACCTACATGGAGGATCAGGACAATAGAAAATAATCATATAAGCACCACGTCATTTGGACACTGTGTGACTGTATGGTCTGACATTAAGTTTTTCAGTATTTAATCAATAAGCCTGCTACCTAGCCCACACAGTAAGATTGCTTGTTTACCAAAGGAGAAAAAAACCCCAACGTGATGCCTGGGTTTCTAAAAAAAAAAAAAAAAATCTTCAAATTAGAAATAATGACCATTTCCTCACAAACTGCGTGCAGAGGCAGTTTGGACGCAGCTTGTGCATCAGGCAGCATGGGGAGTATGAGATGGTCGCGCTCTCTCTTGCTTCCCAGAGCATTATTGAGAGAGAAAATGTTTCCAAGCCTTCCAGACAGGCTCCCTGTGGATGACAGGCTTCATCCTGAGGAGGCAAAAATGGAAATAATGAAAAGGTCCAGTGGAAGGCATTGATTATAAGAGCATCCTCGTGTCACGGGGAAAAAATAATGGAACAAGAGTAAAGCCATCACAGAGGATTAAGCTCACTGTGCTAAGCGTCCATCTCGTGAGGGGAAAATATTAATCACGTGTGTCTTCTTTTCTCCCCGCTCCTTCCGCAGGAAATGTGACTGGAAACAGTAACTCCACCTTTATCTCAAGTGGACAAGTAATGAATTTCAAGGGCGACATCATTGTTGTCTACCTTAGCCAAAACTCCCAGGAGGGGGCAACGGCCTCGGGGCCGAGCGAGGAGAACGTGGGCAGCCCTGTGCAGGAGGAAAACCTCAGCCGCTGCGAGACTTTTGCCGGCAACGCCCAGCACTACAAGGAGAAGTGTGCCGAGCTGCAGGGCGCCTGCCCGGTGGTGGGGAGCAGGGGGCCGCGGCGGACCACTGGACCCCCGGCCCAGGAGCGGGACCCGTC